CCACCACGATAACATCCCACTTCATGCACAGCTCTCTCTCTCTGTACTTCAAGAACAGTTTCCAGTCTCAAAACTTTGTTTTCTGCATTATTCATTCACTTATTACCCACCAGTCTAACGTTGTTTACAGCGCTGTCGGCCGCTGTCTTTTTTTTTTTTTTTTACTTAAATGTCCTTGGACAACAAAGCCTAATTTCTGCTGTTCAATACTGATGAAATTTAAACTTCTTAAAATTATGCAAAATTGCAGAGTATTGCAGAATATTTTTAAGGTTATCTGCTATAAAAAGTCAGGCCAGAAAATCTCCTTCATGTTCTTCTGTGTTTTATTCTCAGTTACTTTGACACAAAGGCATCTGCTGTGATGCTCACAACTTTGATAAAGTCTCACATGTATCAGTATTGATAAATGATCAGAATTATAATATTTCTGACTGTCTGAAGCAAAATTAAATCGAATCGAATCAATTATAGAAATCAGTGATGATACTCAGCCCTAGTGAGCAGCCCAGGCCCGACAGAGTGGATGTAGCTGTGGGTAATAAGAAAAGATGAAAAGAACTATTGATAACTTTTTTATTAAGTTAAGGCCTGATCCGTCTGAAATTCATAGCCAGTGCTCTGACACGGAGCCATCAATCTTTGAATGCTGAAAAAGCAGCAGTGTGTCCAGAAAACACATTATATGCTGCAATAAATGCACTGCCCAAGTGTTCCCTCTCCCCACGGCCTTTCAGCAGCAGGCAGCAGCAAACAGGTCGTCAGAGGAGCCGAGATGATGATTAAGTAGGGCTGCACGATTTTGCATAAAATGAGAATCACGATTTTTTTTTTCTTAGAATTGAGATCACGATTCTCTCACGATTTCTTTTCCAGTATAAATATTTATTGCACTTATTCACTGCACATCAACTTCGTAACAGTTGAGACTGAACATAAAAACAATAAATAAACATAAAAACAACAAATGTCTCACATTTTGTTGTTGCTGCAAAATGTTGTACTGCTTGAAATTCCGTCTCCACCGTTGCTCGACGCTGCGTGTATAGAGCAGGTAGTGCAACAATAGAAAAATAGTTGCGGGACGGCACTGTGTAGCGTTTGTCTAGAGTGTTGATCATTTTCATAAATCTCTCGTTTTGCACAGTGTTGATGGAGCCATATCTTTGGTCAGGTGATAAGTGATAGCCTCCGTAATTTCTTTGTGCCTGCGGGAGTTCGACGTGTATAGGGAAGCGCTGTGTAAGGTTCCCGTTATTGATGTTTGGGTGGTTGACTGGGACGGATTTTCTCCTGTCACTTTCTCGTCATCCCTGATGTGCTTTCCGTTGTTTTTCCCTGCTAATTTTAGCATCACACAGCACAGCTTCTGTATCACGTGGTATAAGGCTCCGCCCTTGTCATTTGTTGAGCAGGAAGAGTGAGCGCTTGTTTTCATGCAGATTATGTCCCGGATCAAAATGCCGTACAATCGTCGTCTTTTTTTAAAAAAAATTTTTTTTAAATAGTTGTCATTTGGAAATGAGATCGCATATAAGTATGAATCGAGATCGCAATTTTCTAACGATTAATCGTGCAGCGTGTGTGGATTTCAACTTACAAGTACAAATTTTTTTTCTTGATTGGTCAATGTCATGTTAATCACAAATGTAACAATCCAATCAGAGAACAGATGGGCTTGGCTGTTGGAGAGGTGCTTTACTGAGCTTCGGGTACTGGGAGGGTAATACAGTTTGAAGCTGGATGATCTCTATGTAAATATCCCATAGGGGCCATACAAGCGAGGTCCCTTAACTTTCGATAGCTGTTGAAAGGATAAAATTGTGGTATATCAGTGGTTAGAAATAGCATTATTACTTTAGGATTAGTTTAACACAAAGTCATGTAATTGTAGTAATGTCGTTTCTATCTCTGACTTTATGTTCTCTACAAGAGTTTCTGTTGTTTTATCTTCAAATGTTCAATTGAAACATGTATCGCTCATTCATAACAAAGAAAGCTTTGTTACTATCCCCACTAGTGAAGACTATCATTTCCACAATACTGCTTCCCCCCCCCCCCCCCCCCCCCCCCCCCCCAGGTCCGCAGCATTAGGGCTGTTCGATATAACGATATATATCGGATGACGATATAAAAACATCTATCGTTTCATTTTATGCTATCGTTTGTTTCGTGGTGTCGCAAAAGAAACTGTTTAAGGCAATATTTTTTCATGGTTTTGATGGTCACTGTAGTGGCTATATTCATTTCTTAAAGTTCTCTCTTTCTCTTATATTTCATATAACCACACTACGGACGGACAAGCGCCTGTTTTTATGCGTTGTCGTTAGCAACAACGACGGTAACACCATCGCGTGTCCACTTGTTTATTTTCCACATTAACCTTTCACAATAAAGCTCAAGATCCTGTTGAGACTTTTCAAAATAAACTGAATCACATGAAAAAGTATGCAGAGATTTTACGGATGAGAAGCAACAAGGAGCCGTCAGGTGATGAAAAATAAACCTTAGACTCAAACGTTAGAACAGGTTTTTCCCCGCAGCACGCCGTGTAATAAATACTCACAAAGAAAACGGCGGCCATTACAACTTATGTCTAAAAATATATCGTTTCATGCATCGGTTTAAAAACTCGACTCCAGCTACATGACGCGCAGCTGGAAACACTTCACGCAAGTCGAGCTGCCCGAGATTCACAGAATTTACAGAAAATGCAAAATTTTTGTGATTTATATCGTTATCGGGACGATAGATGTCTTATCGGGATATGAGCTCTTGGTCATATCGCACAGCCCTACGCAGCACTGTTGAAAAGGCTCTGGACGTCCCTGTATTAAGCATGTGAACCTTTCATACAAAAATCACCAAACTCGGACACACACAGACTGTTTTCCTTCGTGGTGATGAAGGAAAACGCTGGGCTGGCATGTAAAAGGGCATTTATTCTTCCAAGACCTAACGCTCCATAAATCACCCCTCCAACAGCCAAACCCATCTGTTCTCTGATTGGATGATTGTTGGGTTTTTCTCTGTATATATTATTGTAGGTTCTACCTTACAATATAAAACGCCTTGAAGCGACTGTTGTTGTGATTTGGCGCTATATAATTAAATAACTATATAATTAAAATTGAATTGAATTGAAATCGTTACTCACCAGTAATATCTCCAAAGCGATCTTTGATCACTGGCTCTGCAAGACAACAATAGGCACATGACATAAATATGTTGTACTTGTAAATCAAATGTGTAGTTGTGAACTGACTTTTGTAACCTTGTAAACCAAAAAATGTGAAAATTGTATATTTGTGCATCTACAGATGACATTTTTTGTGTGTGTGTAAATAAGATTTGTTTGTAAAAAATATTGACACATTTTTTTGTTAAGGTCTGGTTACAGATACAAAGCAACAAACTACGTGTAAAACTCTGTGCTCTGGTTTCCTGGCTGTGTGTGACTCTCAACTTACAAGTACAAATTTTGGCCCAATTTTTATTTCTTTCAGCTGATTGGTCAATGTCATGTCAATCACAAATTTAACAATCCAATCAAAGAACAGATGGGTTTGGCTGTTGGAGAGGTGCTTTACTGAGCTTCAGGTCTTGGAAGAATAAATGCCCTTTTACATGCCAGCCCAGCGTTTTCCTTCATCACCACAAAGGAAAACAGTCTGTGGTCGTCCGAGTTTGGTGATTTATGTGTGACAGGTTTACGTGCTTAATACAGGGATGTCCACAGCCTTTTCAGCAGCGCTGCGGACCTTGGGGGGGGAAAGCAGTATTGTGGAAATGATAGTCTTCACTAGTGGGGATAGCAACAAAGCTTTCTTTGTTATGAATGAGCGATACATGTTTCTATTGAACATTTGAAGATAAAACAACAGAAACTCTTGTAGAGAACATAAAGTCAGAGATAGAAACGACATTACTACAATTACATGACTTTGTGTTAAACTAATCCTAAAGTAATAATGCTATTTCTAACCACTGATATACCACAATTTTATCCTTTCAACAGCTATCGAAAGTTAAGGGACCTCGCTTGTATGGCCCCTATGGGATATTTACATAGAGATCCTCCAGCTTCAAACTGTATTACCCTCCCAGTACCCGAAGCTCAGTAAAGCACCTCTCCAACAGTCAAGCCCATCTGTTCTCTGATTGGATTGTTACATTTGTGATTGACATGACATTGACCAATCAGGTGAAAGCAAGAAAAATCTGGTCAAAATTTGTACTTGTAAGTTGAGAGTCACACACAGCCAGGAAACCAGAGCACAGAGTTTTACTCGTAGTATTTTGCTTTGTATCTGTAACCAGACCTCAACAAAAAATGTGTAACTCGTGTAAATATTTTTTACAAACAAATCTTTTTTTACACACACACAAAAATTCTCATCTGTAGATGCACAAACATAAAATGTTCACATATTTTAGCTCACAAGGTTACAAAACTCAGTTCACAAATACACATTTGATTTACAAGTACAAGATATTTATGACCACAATTTGAGCCCATAGTCATGTGCCTACTATTTGTCTTGCAGAGCCTGTGATGAGAGACAGATTTGGAGATATTCCAGGTGAGTAATGATGCTGTTGTCTACATCTGTAACTTGTGTAGCTACACATCTGTTAGCCTCAGCACCTGTCAAACATGTTTAAACTTGCCATAAACAATTTATTAAGATATCACTGAAATCTGTGGTCCTGTCAGTAATGACAGATAAGGAGAAATCTGTCCTGAACCTGACTTCAGTATCACTGTTTATTGTTGTCGCCTTGAAGACTGACACAGCACCCGACCTTTTTTAAAAATGTGAATAGGCTGTTGCTGAAAGTGTTGTGGCGTACAAACATGGTATATCATCATTCTATTGCTGCATTTGCACGTCATGTTTAAGCTGATGCACGTATGACTCTCCTGCACTGTAAACACCTGAGAGCAGCAAATATATTATAAACCTGAGAATTAGTATAACTGTGATGTGGATTTGAAGATGGCAGTGCAGGTCCTGGTGTCAGGTACGTGCTGTGTAGCTAAGTTATGCTGGTTATGCTCGACATGTCTGTTGTGTTGTGCACTGATTTTCACATCACATCATGTGTCACACAACACAATCTTTGTGGTGCGTCCGCTGGTCTCATGATTTTGCAACTTAATAAGTTGTTGCCACGGCCGCTGCAGTGAACCATCACACGAGTGTAGGATTTTGTTTTTCCTGCCATTTTAATGATGTTCCAGCACAGAAGCTCAGAGATATAAGGATACATAGATGGAGTCGTTGGAACAGTTTGAAAACTTGAGTTTGTGGAAAAAACTTTGCACAACACCCTCGACAAAGTCTTGGCTTCTGATTTTGACGATTTCTCCTCCTATATCAGCGCTTATGTGGCGATGTGAGTGTTCACACCTATCGTTCAGGAGAATACTGCAGCGGCTTGTGCCATTACATGTTTTACTGGATATTTTACTGCAATCAAGCCCCCCAGAAAACCTAAAATGAAACTACATCTATTGTCTCAACCCTTTCTATCAAAACAAGCTGAAGATTTTCTGAAGAACACACACACACACACACACACACACACACACACACAAACTGTACATTTAAGCATTTTGAACAGGCTCAAGAGCTCCTGTGTTGCAGAAAGTCAGAGTTTGAGTGTGAGAAGTGTTTGTTTCCTGATCCTGTAGCTGCTATGTTAAGCTAACCCTGTGCTAATGTTGTCTATGTCTAAGCCCTCTGTGAACCCACATCAGTGTTAGTTTTTCTTTTTATAAGGACTTAGTGAGGTGCTGGGATCGATTTGTTTCCTAACATATGTTTGATGAATCAGTCAGTTTAAAGACCAATTACTATAATTGTAGTTTTTCTTCAGAAGAGATCACACACTTTTTTTATATTAAAAGTAATTGAGAGCAGTGACACATTAATTTGTTATTCACGTTGTAATTTAGTTTAACAAATACAAACATTTCTTTGCAGTATTCAGTGTTGTAGTGCTGTGGGTTAAGCAGGTGCTGATTCTTTATTCTTTCTGAGACAGTAAAGGAGGTGATAAAGACTGATCAAGTGATTAACACAGCCTTACTGTGTTCACAGGTGCAGCTCCGAAGCCACTCATTCATGTCCTGAAAATCACAGAGGACGAGGCGCGGCTGAAGTGTGAGGTCAGAGGTGCTTCTCCAAAGCCTAAAGTAGAGTGGAGGGACAGCGATGGGAACATCCTTCCTGCTGAGGAGCCACAGGTGTCACGCACAGGAGAGCGCTATGACATCACCCTCCTCACCACGGTGACCAGGACAAACATCAGCCCCTTCCACTGTGTAGCCACACAGGAGGAGATCGGCCATGTGACTGAGGATAAGCTCTCCGTCGCTTTCTGTGGTAAGATTTGTTTTTTGGCATTTTAGAGAACAAATACCTGTAGTTGTTGTTTCTGACAGAACGCTTGGAAGAACCTACTTTCTAAGTAACTTGTAGGTTTGTCTACGTGGGAGAACTTTTACTGAACCACAGCAAATATTTATTTGATGTTCCTTTTTTAACATCAGAGTTGATAAGGGCTTTGTTTTGACCCTTTTGGAATTTTAAATATTGTGTAACTCTGTTAAATTAAAACCTTAATGTGCTTATTCCTCAAATATTGAATTATTCGCTGTGTGGGATTAAAAAGGAAAAACGCACACATGACTGCATTTACGTAGAACTGCCGAGGACGCCATTGTTACCCCGAAGAAATTAATGCTTGGTTGCCTAGCAACATTATTGTTTATAGACATTGAAGGCTTCTATAATGTGAGCCAGAGCTCTCTATATGAGATTGATAAATGAACACATATGGGACTGTAGTTAAATAAAAGATGAATAATTACTGTCAAGCTGAGGATGAGATTTGAGCAGAGCCAGAGCAGGAACGCTGTGACTGAATGTGCGAAGAACGGGTGGCTTGGTGGCTTTGCAGAGCATGCAGCTGAACTGAACAGAGTCCAGATTGTGGAGAACTAATCTGAGCTAATAAAGAGTGAAATCAAGAGCAGAAAACAGATTTTCAGGCCTGAGCTGAGGAGGTGAAGCTGAAGACTTAGACTTGTTTGTCAAACCTTAACCAGTGCAGGGGTCTCCCTACACCCTGGACTGCATTGTGTGATCTTGTGATTGATTGGGGTGCACTGTAGAGAGACCAGTCAGACACAGGCATTCAATTTGTGGCTCGGACTGCCGCACCATTTATTTAGACACTGGGGCATAAACCACTCCAACTCTGCTACTGCTGGCCCTTGCAAAGCAATCACAGTAAACACTGAGCCAAGATGGCGGCCACACGAACAAGAAACTTACAACTGCGATGTCGTAGTTGTAAGTGAATTATTAAAAACTAATTCAACTAAAACTTCAAGCTAATTTTAAAGCTGTGCTTTTCCTCCATATTTGCTACGACATTCAGTGGAATCTATGTGAATTTTATTTTTGGTTCGTACATCATTACATGAAATTCATGAATTGATTTTGAATGTCATTGGAATGCCAACCAGAATTCTTGTAAAGAATACTTTACAACTCCACAACTTTTTTTAGTGCAAAAAATACCCCATCAATTAAACAAGCAGCTGTTTTTTATTTTATATGCATTAAAGTTATATAAAAATTTAACAGTGCAAATGCAAATTCCTTGCTGACAGTTTAACCAAAAGGCATTTCCAGTGGAAACTCAGCATAACCATGTATAATATCCACAAAACTTAAAAAGAGTTTATACACACACAATACGGTAATATTATGTTGAAGCACAGTATGTATCACTCCGCGAGGCTCCACCTACGATAGCTGTAATACTCCGACAATCCATCAAGCGGTGCGACTTTGTAGCTTAGCAAAGTCGTACTAAAAAAATTTTGACAGATTTTTGAGCGCCGTGTACCACATAAAATCGTTTTGGTAATAACTGTAATAATGACGGCCCGCTAGCATGCTCTACCAAAAATAGTGTTTTGTTGTGTATCTGACGGACGAAAGCTAAACCAGTTCCACACCACTGGAGTTGCAGCATTTTACAAACCAATTCTGGTTCATCTGTTTCATTCAACGATCCGCATTCGCCCTTCTTATTCTGCGTCACTGCCATGCTTTTTCCGCCATGTGCGTATGAAAACAGGCACTGCGCATGCGCGTTTTACCCATATTCTTTCGCGATATTTCATTTTCTTATCATTGCCCAACATTACAGTGAACGGTATGATTTGTCCCAGTCCTATCATGGGGCGTAGATGATCACAAGAAAGGGATGAAACTAAACAGGAGGAGCTTGTTAATGATCTGTAGGTAGCTGGAGCCACAGTCACCAACAACACCACTGGTAACACACTAGACTGCAATGGACTGAAATCTTGCAACTACAGGACTGTCTTAAGTTTGCCACTGAAAATATAAGTGAGTCAGAGAAGGCTCGGGCGAAAGTGCTGAGGTGTGATAAAACCATAATGTAGCTTTTCTGCCGTGTTTGGAGGAAGAGAAATGCTGAGAATGGCCGAAAGAACACCATCCCCACAGTCAAACACAGAGGTGAAAACATTCATCTTTGGGGCGGTTTTTTTTTGTTTTTTTTTTTGTTTTTTGTGTTTTGTTTTTTGCGAAGGGTACAGGATGACTTCACCAAGGGGCCAGTAGAGGGGACCAGGCACCCCAAACCTCTCTTCTTCAGCAAGAACATCGAAGATGAGTAGTAGATGGATGACAATGTCCCAAAACGTATCACCAAGACAACAAAAAAGTAGCTAAAGAAAAGGAAAATTAAGATTGTGGAGTGACCTGGCCAGTCTTCAGACATCAATTCTTTAGATAATCTGAGGAGGGAGCTCAAGCATGGAGATGCTACGTGAGAGTGAAGAAACCTGAAGGATTTAGAGTTTTTGTAAAAAGCAGCGGGCCAAAATACCTCCTGAGATGTGTGCAAACGTGACGACAAACCATGAGAAATGTCTTATTATTGTGCTTGCTAGTTTTAACAAAGGTTTCTCCACCATGTAGTACGTCATGTGTTGCATAAAATGAAACAACCATAAAGTTTAGACGCTGTTTATTTCTGAGCAAACTTACAAACTCAACAGGGGATTTACCTCACATGCTGTACATGCCGTGACATTGCATAAGCTCATTGAAAATATGCTGTGTTTCAGTGCTAAGTCTAAGCTAAAGGCAGGTTCACAAAATATTAGTGTGTGACAGATTGATCAAAAGATCAATTTGTCAGATGAGAATCTTCACAGTGTTTGGTTGTGTTCATTGGATTTAAAGTTTCAAAGCTTTTAGGAGCGTTTCTTTTGAGGTTTATTCAATTAATTATATGATTTAAATACATTCTCTGCATCACACAAGGTTTTTGTGATGTCTTTCAGGCACATGTGGAAAAGTTATCACTCGAATGGCTGTATGTTTCATTGGAATACTAAGTTTTTTTTAGTTCTGCCTGTGCTTGTGGCTACAAAGACTATCTCAATACACTTTAACAGAGGTAAGTTGAAGTAATTATTTAATAATATGCTGTGTAAAGCGACCAATATGTTAAATATATTAATGAATTGTAACATTAATATTGTATTATTAATTGTATTATTACGAGGGCAATCCCAAAAGTAAGGTCTCCTATTGTTTTAGAAATACAAACAACCATTTATTTTCCATAATATTTACATAATTTGAAGGGTTGACGAATTATTTATTTTTCTACATAATCACCATTTCAGTCAATGCATTTTTGTAGACGCTGTGGCAGTTTTAGAATGCCCATGTCATACCAGCTCGCTGTCATGTCCTTCATGAAGCTTTGAACCTCATCTTTCACCTCTTCGTCAGAGCAGAATCGCCTTCCGGGCAAATGTTCTTGGGGAATTTGGGGAGCAGGTGGTTGTTACTGGGTGCCAAGTCCGGGCTATAGGGTGGGTGATGAGGTTCCAACCAAAGTTTTGCAGGACAGCGACGGCTTGACAGGCAACTTGTGGACAAGCGTTGTCGTGGAAAATGCTTACGCCCTTGCTTAACATTCCTCTTCTCCGGTTCTGTATTGCCCTTCTGAGTTGTTTTCAGTATTTCACAGTACCTGTCAGCATCTATTCTGGTCCCAGCAGGCAAAAAGTCGACCAAGAATACCCCCTTTCGGTCCCAAAACACAGTTGTCATGACTTTGTCAGCGGACTGTGTTTGTTCGAATTTTCTCGGCTTGGGCGAAGAGGTATGCCGCCACTTGTATGATTGTTGTATGGTCTCAGGTGCAAAGTGGAACCCCTGATTTTGTCACCAATGACAATTGAGTCCAAGAAGATGTCCTTTTCATTTGCACAGCAGCGAAGAAATTCACGGGAAGAATCAACTCATTGCCATGGTCTTCTGTCAGCCTTCGTGGTACCCGTGTTGCACACACCTTCCGATATTGCAACTTGTCTGTTAAAATCCTGTGGATGGTGCTTTGGGAAACCTCAAGAACTAAAATGCAGTGAGCATCCAGAGTAATCCGCCGATCTTTTCCTCAACCTTCATGACTCTTGGGGAATTGATGGTCTCCCGCTCCTTTGTACTGAAATTCATGCCAAACAACCAGCTGTAAGCTCTTCACACCACCACACCAAACTGGAAGTTGGTTCCACAGAAGAGGGGCCTGAAAACTGAAGGCTCTGCCTCCCATTCTACTTTTAAATACTCTAGGAACAACAAGTAGGCCTGCAGAGCGAGAGCGAAGTGCTCTAATAGGGTGATATGGTACTACAAGGTCATTAAGATAAGATGGGGCCTGATTATTTAAGACCTTGTATGTGAGGAGCAGGATTTTGAATTCTGGATTTAACAGGAAGCCAATGAAGGGAAGCCAAAACAGGAGAAATCTGCTCTCTCTTTCTAGTCCCTGTCAGGACTCTTGCTGCAGCATTTTGGATCAGCTGAAGGCTTTTCAGTGAGTTTTTAGGACTTCCTGATAATAATGAATTACAGTCGTCCAGCCTGGAAGTAATAAATGGTTTTTCAGGGTCACTCTGAGACAGGATATTTCTAACTTTAGAGATGTTGCACAAATGGAAGAACGCAGTCTTACATATTTGTTTAATATGTGCGTTGAAGGACATGTCCTGGTCAAAAATGACTCCAAGGTTCCTCACAGTGTTACTGGAGGCCAAGGTAATGCCATCCAGAGTAAGAATCTGGTTAGATACCATATTTCTAAGATTTTCAGGGCCGAGTACAATAACCTCAGTTTGATCTGAATTAAGAAGCAGAAAGTTAGCGGCCATCCAGGTCTTTATGTCTTTAAGACATTCCTGCAGTTTAACTAATTGGTGTGTGTTGTCTGGCTTCATGGACAGATAGAGCTGGGTGTCATCTGCATAGCAGTGAAAATGTAT